AATTAAAATAAAACCCCCAAACAGTTAAAAATATAAATATCCACATTAATTTAGTTAAAAATTAACTATATAAAAAGATGTACATGATCTTCCAGGTCTGGGTTTTTAAAGTTCATGGAGGACCATGCTTCTTTCTCTCTATCTCTGCATCCAAAGGAAGATTAAAAGCTTCTATTTCTAATCTCCGATAAGCCAAAATTTGTCATGTTATCCACATGTAGCAAGCTGTTTTTCCAAACCATAGTTTGGTCCTAACTTGATAACAAACATGGTTTTGCAAAGCAGAAGCTTATAAAATTCCCTCACAGATAAATAGGGAAGAGGTGCAGAAGTCTAAGGGTTGCTCCTTCTCATTCCTATTTGTTATTATATTGAAACTGAATTATTCTTCTAATCACTTTGTCGCTTTCTCTAGTATCTCAGAATAATGCTGGTTTGAGATAAGGCCTGGCCTATGATAAGTTTCTAACCTACTCACCTATAGTAAGCTAAAACTTATTTGCAATGCTTCTATATCATCCCTATTATAAAACTCCATGTACCATAAAGCAGTTACAATTATGAAATAATTAACAGTTTCCCACAAACACAATAACAGCCAAAGTCCTATTGAAAATAATCTTCTGTGATTTGGTTTTTGCTTAGTATGTTGTACAGATACTACAGTTTGTAAATCATGGTTTCTGACAATAGGGAGTTCTGTAATTGTGACATTAGCTAATCATGGTTAGACCATGATCTGTGGGCCCAGTCCCACCACACAGTGTGTGAACCCAGTTACTCAAAATCTTCATGCTGTTAGAAAAGTGAAACTATTCTTTCGTTGGTCCTGCCTTCTAGACTACTGAACACCCCAGAATATCTCAGGCCTCAGTCTCAGATTTTATTGCCTCATTGACATTGCCTCATTGAAGCCAGATATAGGTTGCTAATTTGAAAGAAAGCTAGAATAACCTTGTTTATTCTGATTCTGAAATAACAAAGAGTTGTGCCGGTCAGCAGAGCTTCTGAAATGCTTGAACACAGGCTCTTGGTTCAGTCTCTGGAGGAGTCTGCCTTGCTTTAAACTAGGCCTCTAACCTCCTCGGATTATTCAGGTATTAAATGCTCACTGGTGGCAGATTGTCCCCTTCTCTGTCAGAAGCCTTGGAAACTGCAGTGTGATTTGGGAGCCATTTTCCCCTTTAATCATTATTAAAGTGTTTCCCATCCTATAATAAGGGGTTAAATTGATGGGTGCCTCTGTTTCTTCCACTTCCTAGGATCCCAGTAAAATTCCAGACTGGCTAAAGATTAATAAGAATTATTATCCTGATTTCATTGTTCCAGACCCAAAGGTAAAATGTCTTGTGGGAGTGGGTGTTTCCTGGGCAAAAGTGGTTTCCCTACCATGAACCCCTCCTGGGAGAGCTTTTTTAAGTCGTTTGCAGGCCTTAGATGCAGCAGTACTGCTGAAGTGAAACCGGCGTAGCTATGACCAATCCCACGGAAGGGAATCCACTAAAGGTCCACTGCAGTGCAGGAAAGGACCTTTGTTCTTTCACATTTTTCCCTATGATTTCATTCTGTTTACAAAGTTCATCTTCTCAAAGTTACAGAGGAAATTTAAATAGCATTGTATAACCCTACTTCTCTCTAGGCTTCTGAATGCGTTGACAGGAAAATCTTGCAAGAATACTTTTTGTTGTTCAGTCGTTAAATCGTGTCCGACTCTTCGTGACCCCATGAACCATATTGCGCCAGGCCTTCCTGTCCTT